GTAAAACCCGTGCTGACTTGCATCGAGTTATATTCATACAAGTTGTGCAATAGTTGCGCTTACTTGCGTTATTTGTTAAAAGGATAAAAATGATCGAAGTGATTTTTACAATGACAAAAATTTAATAAATGAAAATAAATAATTATTATCTTGATAATTCAATATAAATTCAAATAAAAAATAGATAATAATTATCTACTTACAATAGATTGTAAATAGATTTAAGCAAAACCGCATTTTTAGTTATTCTCATGACTAACACATATTTTTTTATTTTTAAGAAATGGCAGTAAAATTCGAAAGCAATAAAAAAAATATATCACAGTTTTTTTTTTTTTTTTTAAATTATCTTTGCTTCCAACAAGTCCACTTCCAACAAGCAACCACTAATTAATGTTGGAAGTTACTGGAAGAGAAAAGATAAAGATTGTAGAGCAAGATAACGAATGACAGACGACTTAAAAGATTGCAAATTATATGAATCAGGAAAGCAAGATGAAGGAAGCGAATTCCAAAGAACTGATGTTTGAGGAAAAAAACTAGGCGAATAAGAGTTTTTGGAGCACTTAGGAACAGTAACAGAAAATGGATGAGACTTAATTGAATGACGAGTAACATGAGAATGAATTTTAATAGATGGCACAAGCGACGCTAGCTCTTTCGAGCAGTGCCCATTATAGTATTTGTAAAAAAGAGAAAGAGAAGCAACATTACGACAATGTGACAGAGGTTCAAGGTTGACTGTAAGAGCAGGTCCAACTATGTTTAGCAGATGCTAATTTTGCAACGGATTTGATATAAGATTTCCAAGAAAGATCAGAAGTAAGAGTTAATCCTAGAAGATGAAGGGTAGGAGACTCATCGAGTACATTACCGTTCATAAATATAGGAACGTCTAAATTATTGCAATAACGATTGGCCGAAAAAAATGCCCCCTGCAAGCAATCAGAGAGAGTTAGCTTCTTATCGTGACAAGAATAAATGGTAGTATCATCAGGGAACAATGCCACCTTGGATGTGAGAATATCTGGAGGATCGTTAATGTAAATTAAAAAGAGTATAGGGCCAAGGATTGAACCTTGGGGAACCCCTGAGATTACAGAATAAGAAGAAGAGTGCTGTCCATCAAAGACAACTTTTATACTACGATTGAAAAGAAAGGATTCAATAATCTTAAAGGTGTTTCCAGATATACTGTAAGAAGAAAGCTTATGGAGGAGACCAGCATGCCAAACTTTATGAAACGCTTTAGAAATGTCAAGAGCAATGGTCTTAACCTCTCCACCTTTATCTAATGCGCCATAAAACCTATCGATTATTACTGATAGCAAATCAGCCGTAGAACGAGAAAATCAAAATCCATATTGATGATCAGAAAGAAAGTTATGAGATTCTAGATTCTAGATTAAGTGTTTGTTAATTAAAGATTCAAAAACCTTGCTTATGATAGGCAGAAAACTTATGGGATGGTAGTTATATGAATTGTATTGCTCTCCAGAATTTTTAAAAATAGGGATAACAGATGCTGCTTTCCAGCAGACTGGAAAACAAGACTCGGATAAGCATGTGTTAAATAGTTTTGAAAGGATAGATGACAGCTCCGGAGAACACTTCTGCAAGACTATAACAGGTATGTTGTCTGGGCGGCAAGTTGTAGAAGAGTCTAAGCGGGAAATCACTTTAGATACAGAAGCTGGAGTGAAACGATTGTCGAGCAATGGATCAACCTGTTTAACGGCTATATCAGGTAGAACGCAACTAGTGGCATCAAGAGATGATATTGATGAAAAGTTCTTGGCAAACAATTCAGCTTTGTCTTTGGTGAGGTGACAAAGTCTGAACCATACAAAAGAGGTGGAATTACTTGCCCTTATTATTGATACTATTAAAGATTCTCCAGAAGTCATGAGAGCCTAATTTTTGTAATGAAATACGAGACTTCATGATCTAAGAATAGGGGGCTTAGGCGTTTGACAAAACCTTTTTACAACGGTTCCTAGCAGTAATAAATAGGCGTCTGTTTTCTGGAGAATTGTTTTGCCGATAGATATGGAAGTAATGGTTTTGATTGGCAATTGCAGCAGCACAATGTGAGGAAAACCATGGAAAAGAGCGAGGCTTGACCTGGAATCGTTGAGAGGGAATAAAGGATTCCATGCCAGCCTGAATCCACGAAGTTATGTAAAAAGCACATTTGTCAACAGGGAGAAAGATTTCTACCCAGAGGCCATCACATAGAAAATCATGGAAAGAGTCCCAGTCAGCTTTAAGGTAGTTGTAAGATGTACGATGATAGAGGGATTCTGATGGTAAAGAAAAATGAGATAATAGTTTGAGAAAGACCAAACCATGATCAGAAGCACCTAAGGGTGAGTGTGAAGAAATTGAGCACTGACTAGGATCAGTAACAAGACATAAGTCGAGTAGAGAAGGTAAATGATTTGGGTTGTCTAGAAATCGAGTTGGAAAGTTGACTGTTTGAGTTAGGGATTGAAAAAGACAAAAGTTGTGGGCCTTAATGCCTGCAGAGTCACTGACACTAGAGCCAAGCCATTCAGTGTGATGAACATTAAAGTCACCGACAACAACAATATTGGCTGATGGATAAAGAATGAGGGCTTGGTCAATATAATCAGAAATAACATCAAGAAGAGTGCAGTCTTGAGATGAGGGAGAGCGATATAGAACAAAAAGGAAAGGTGATAAAGTGAAGTGGTGCTAAACGAAAGCACATAAAAGAGTAGTCTGTGGATTCAAACCTAGTTTCTCGTCAAATGGGTGAATTCTTATGAATGTAAATGCTAGGCCAAGCATGTGACTATTGGAGTCTTTACGAATTAAAGGAAGTTAACCATCAACACTAAGATCACAAGATGAGACAGCTGAACTCAAATTAGTCTCACAAAGAGCAAGTAGGTCTGGTTAACTTTGCAAGAGATAAGACTCAACAGAAGAAAAGTTACTTCGAAGACCACGAATATTGGTGAATGATAGGTTTAGCAAACTTGGTGATGACTGTGGTTTTTTGTGTTTTATAGTTTTTGTTACTTTATTCATTTTTAAATTTGTTAAAGAACTTGACTCGAAACATAGATAGTACTCAGTACACTGTCTTATAGCCCAAGCAATTGCCTCATTTCCACTAATAAACCCTAAGCTGTAACAAAGGGCTCCAATGTGGCCTTGGCAATGCACACTAAAAGTACAAACAGGCTTTTTTTTTTAAAGTTGTCTCTAAATGTCCCGTGTTTTTAAGACCAATGTATTTCTTTACTAATAAAATAAAAAAGTTTTTTACTATTTTTAACATTAGTATACACTACAAAATGTTATTATTCAAGTTTAAGAATACATAAATTATACTATATAAGCACAAGATTTTAATAATGTATTCACTAATATTTTCTTTTTATATGATAATTGGAAAAGCATGGAGCTGCCTAAAGTCCTACATTATATTCTACACATTCATATCTATAATCTTTTTGAACATTGTGTTTGCAACATACCACACACCTACTTTGAGCATTAATCTTTTGTTATCATTTTTAATAATCGTTCATCAAATATATCTTTTCATGATTTATTCATCAAATGTATAATATTCTGTTTTTTTGTGAGTAAATATTTATTTTTTGATAACTATTTTTGCACTGAATAAATTTTCTTATTTGTCATATTTAAAATTAAACTGAATGCGTGTAAAAGTGAGTTATTGAAACAAAATCTTTGTAATTATGTAGTAATAAATTTTATGACAAGTAGACGAATAATTACTGATGAAAAAAAAAAAGAAATATAAGGAGATGCATAAAACTGTAATATTATGGCATGGACATTTGGAAACCACTTTAAGTTTGCATAATATTACGCCATGGTCTGTTAACGGGTTAACATCTATATTTGAGACATATTTTAATTGCGTCTCATATCTAGATTTTGTTATGTTATTTGGTTGTTAAAAGTAAATATCCTGCTTTATCTGTAGTTTTATATTCTTTTAATAAATATCAATTGACTTAGCTACATAATGGGAAGGGTTAAAAACAGCAATTTTCAAAATCTTTAGAGATCTATCGGCATCTGTTAATGTTGTTGTACAAGGATAAAATTTTTGATTTATGTAAATCTAGGTGTCTAATATATATATATATATATATATATATATATATATATATATATATATATATATATATATATATATATATATATATATATATATATATATATATATATATATATATATATATATATATACATATATATATATATATATATATATATATATATATATATATATATATATATATATATATATATATATATATATATATATATATATATATATTAGACACCCTAATATATATATATATATATATATTTATATATATATATATATATTTATATATATATATATATATATATATATATATATATATATATATATATATATATATATATATATATATATATATATATATATAAATATATATATATATATTTTTTTATTATACTTCACCTCCTCAAGGCCGAGAAGGCCACTACAGACGAGGAGGCTACTTATTTTTTGTGGCTATAACCCTCTCTCAACTCTATAACTCCGAAACACAAACCTTGACGAACAAGGCCGCTGCGCAGAGAAACGAGTTAAACGCGGTACTACCAGGGACGTGGTGGGGATCGAACTCGGAACCACTCGTTTATGAAGCAAGCGCTCTACCACTACACCACTACCTCATTATATATATATATATATATATATATATATATATATATATATATATATATATATATATATATATATATATATATATTTATATATAATTATATACACACACACACACACGAAAGACCCCTGTTTTCCAAAAAAAGCTGTTTCTATTTTTATAACTTCCCAATGGTTCTTAACCTGGGCTTCAAAATTAAAAATGTGTATTGTTATGATAATTTTGATTAAACTCTGAAAATAATTTATAAGTAAAATGAATATTTCAATTTAGATGATCACATAGAGATAAAAAAATTAATTCAAGATGTATCACAACGATATCAATTGTACAGTTCTAATAAAAAAACAAGAAAAAAAGAAGATAATGTCCAAGTGAAGAGGTTTTTGTATATTTTTAAATGCCTAATTTTTTGTGTTTTTTTCTTTTAGAGGGATTCAAAAATTAATCATAAAAATACTTATTAGTAATTATATATTACTATTACTTAATAATGGTTAACTATATCTCAAACTGACTAACAACTCACTTACTTTTTGAAAACTTCAGTTAACATTTTAACAATAACAAAACCTTTAGAAATAACATTTCTGTTACCACAGTTGTCACTATCGTAACAGAAATGTTAAACTGAGAATGTTTAAAAGGACTGGAATTTAAAGGACTAGGACAAATTTCTTGAACAAATTTACTGGGAAAAATTGGATTAAAAAAAATTTACTGCAATATATTTCTGCAACAAGTTAACAGATCAATTTACCAGAACAATCTACTGTAAGAAACTGTTGAAGCATGTACTGGATTTAAAAAAGTACTGCAATATATTAGTAAAATAAATTACTGGAACAAATTACTACAATATATTACAAGACAGTGTTACTGTAGCAAATAACTGAAACAAGTTACGGAAACATATGGCTGAAACAAAGAAGGTAGAATAGTGTTATTTAATGTATATATATATATATATATATATATATATATATATATATATATATATATATATTTATATATATATATATATATATATATATATATATATATATATATATATATATATATATATATATATATATATATATATATATATATATATATATATATATATATATATATATATATATATATATATATATATATATATATATATATATATATATATATATATATATATATATATATATATATATACAAAAATTGAGCGGCTCTAGGCTCTTGTGTTTTTTTAACCGAATAGAAAGTATGTTTTTTTTTTTTACTGTAGACAAACTTTATTCATTTATTGTTAAACTAATTTGTTGAATGAATTATTTATTGAACTTCTATTTTTTGAAAATATTTTTTTCTAACAGTTACGGTTATGCCAAAACTTAATAAAAACAAATATTTTAACGATTTTGTGCTCAACAAAATACTATCCTTTAATAAAATTTCTTAACATTCTTTATTTAAAAAAAAAGGAAATTATAAATGGAAACATTACAGTGATGTACATATTGCTTTATATTATATTTTTTATACTGATACTATGCTGTTAAATATTTAATGCGCGATTTAATGATCAAAGGTTAATGATACCTTTAAAATAAAACTAAAGCATACGATCGTTAAATTTGGAACAATAAATTTCGTTTAAAACTTGTCGCTAACACATTATTAAATTATTTTTTTCATGTAATTACATAAAGTGATTATGGTATTAATTAAAAACATCAACAAACAAATCAAAATGTTGCTCTTAATTAAAATGTCATTGAAACATTTAGAATAACGAAAAAAAAATTCTGCACAACTATTTACAAAGTCCTTCTACATCGTTAATTTCAATTGCAAAGGCATCTGAATCTAGAAAAACTACTGTTTGCATTATCATAAGACAATACAAGAGCTCTCTATCTTTCAAACAAACAAAAGGATCTGGATGAAAGAGTAGTTTTAAGGATAAGAAAACCGCAATTAGTATTTGACAATCATTCACGCAAAACTCCGGCTTATCAAACAGAGTGTGAGCCAAAGAATATAAAGTTTCAGAGCTTTTTAAAGATTAAAATTTGTCAAGAAATATGCAGCTGCAGTTTGAAATCTAGAGCTTTTGTCACATCGTCAATTTTAAACTTGAATGTTTACATCAAAGAATACTTGCAAGCTCGACTATTGGAATTTTATTGAAGTCACAATGTTCCTTGTTGGTTTTAGCCTAATCTTGCTTCTTGTCATTATTCTAAGAAGAGTGACATCAAATTCATACCAAAAAGCTTGAATCCATCAATTTGCACACAATTCCGTCCCATTGAGAAGTTGATGTCGTTAATAAGCGTAAATATTTGCTTATTTATTTGAAATAATAAAAATATTAAAGTAAAAACCACTTTTATAATCTTCAAGTTCCTTAGATTAAAATAAATATATTTTGTAGTTTTTGCATTAGTTTAAACTATTTTTCATTTTTTTGAATTTTTTATCGTTTTTAATTTAACGATTGCATGCTTTATCCAGTGGGCATGGGACATAAAAAAGAGGTCTTTTAATTGTCTTTGGAGTGTTTTCAACGTCTTTTAAACATTTCGGATGACTTTTGAACGTTCAAAATACGTCTTTTTTAGGTCCCTCAGTAGGGGCATAAAAGAGACGTCTTTTAAACGTCTTTTGAACGTTTGAGATGCCTTTTGAACGTTTTGGACGTCTTTGGGATGTTCAAAAGACGTCTATTTAAGTACAGTGTCCCCTGGGTAGAACTAAAACTAAAATTTGAAACAAAAACTTTAGTTTTGGGTAAATAATATATAGAAAAAAGTGTTTATTTACCCAAAAAAATTTTCTTTTTAAATGTTATATCCTGTGGTAGTAATACAATAACCTTGTAATCATGAGAGTTAGTTAAAAATTAATTGCTGTACTTGGTACAGTTTTAGGTTAGCCTATGTGATTAAAAAAAATATTTTAAAACTTGCAATTTTTGTTCATAAAGTTATGGAGCCAAGCCGGAGCCGGGTATTTCTTACGAGCTGAAGCCGGAGCCGAGCCGTCAAAATAACAGTCCGCTCCACAAGCCTGATATATATATCAATTATATTAGTGTATTTTACAATTAGAGTGCTAAATGTTAGTGTATTCAAGAAATAGTGTATTCTACAAATAGAGTGCTCAATATTCTTTAAGAACAGAGCAATAATAAATTAGTAAAAACACAAATCTAATTTTTGTCTTTAACAATTCGTTTCTTGATCAGTTTTTTGCCAACCTCTGAAAAGATTACTAAATAAAAATTATTTTTAAATCACTATATAAAAATTATTTTCAAGTTTTACATTAATTTATGATTTCAATTAAATTTTGATTTGCATTAAGTTTTATATTTCCATAGGAAATACAAAAGTTTGCAGAAATATTTTTTTTTTTAGATTCAAAGTTTATACTAAAAACTTTTCTGAAATTAAAAAAGTGATACTAAAGTTGTCGTTAATTTGTACTCAGAATTTATATAAAAAAATTTAAATTAAAGTAACTTTGTTGAATTATTATAACTTTGTCAAATTATTGAATAAATTAAGATTATAAACAGAAACATGCTAGGTAACATAATGATGCAGAAATATGCTAGGTAACATAATGATGGATAATGTAAATTTTAACATTTTTTATGAAAAGTTTTTTTTAAACGTTAAATATAATTAATTGCATATTAATACACATAGTTAAATATTGTTTTTAATTTTTAATGATAAAGTATTTTTATATAGTTGTTATTTTTACTTTTATATAGTTCTTCAAATTGTTCAAATAACATAGTTATTGTAATTGATGATGATGACGACGATGAAAGTAATTATGTACCTAAAACATCAACAACAACTAGTTCAATATTGTTGTTAAATAATAATTCAAGCACTTTATCAGTGACAACAACCTCTACCTGTTTTGTTATTCAACCACCTACTCATACACTTCCTCAATTAACCTCTGATGCACCCACTTATATTTCCTTATTATCACCACCCCCTCTTGCAGTAAATGAAGAATTGTCTAAAACAGAAAATTACTCTGAAGAATGTTTAAATAATGGACCAAGTTTAGAACATATAAATTGTGCTGAAACTCCTTCGACTAACATTTCTAAAAATATAGCAGAAAATATAGTTACAACTTTATGTAATTCAACAGCTTGTTCTTATGCTGAAATAGCTAAAGACACTGAAAATAACAATAAGCATTGTACAAATGAACAAAATAAAATTGAGAATCAAATAATAGATAAGGAGTTTGAATTGATTAAGTCATCTGAGTGTTCGCAAGCAAAAGATGCTAATTTAAATAACAACAAAACAGATTTACATATTAACGAACATGAAAACAATTTTCTAGATAAAGAAGAAAACCAGGATTCATCTGTAGTGTCAAGAGAGCTGCTAGAAGAGGAAAAAAATGTTTCTAATAAAACTTTAATTGTTTCTAATGGTGAAAAAGCATCAAAAAATAGTTTTAGCTTTCAATTTCATAAAAAGACTGATTTCGAATCTGTTCCTTCATCACCTTTATCATCTTCAACATCTTCCGAGTTTGGTAAATCAACAATCTCAGCTGATTCTCCAGCTTCTAATGCTTTGTGTGTAGATATTGAAAATTATTCATCTGAGAGATCTGCTCCTAGTAGTCAAGATATGCATTCCTCTCCTGATTCACAATCTTCTCTCAAAAATGAGATTAAAGTTGAAGATTCAATGTAGGTTTTTCAAATTAATTGTTTTTAATTTTTGAATATTCCATTTTGATTTATTTTATAATAATCTTCAGTTAATAAATATTTTTTTTGAGTTTCCTTTCAACTGCTTAAAAATATTTGTTGTATCTCTTGTTATAGGTTTATCTCTTGTTATAGGTTTATCTCTTGTTATAGGTTTATCTCTTGTTATAGGTTTATCTCTTGTTATAGGTTTATCTCTTGTTATAGGTTTATCTCTTGTTATAAGTTTATCTTTTGTTATAGGTTTAATTATAGAGATCATAGTTTAGTTTATGCAAGACCAGATAAAAGTGACATTTGGTATCAAGGTAAACCTTATAATGTTTGGTAAAGTAAAAGCTAAAATATTTGTTTAAAATTTATAAAAACCATCGGACAAAAATAAAAGAAATACTCAAATATAAATTTAAGTTAATAACTTATTGCAACGTTTGATTATAAATGATAAAAACCAGGCTACTTAATTCAAAAAATAGTAATGCTTTGGTGTCTTTTTAAAAATGAATTGACTCGAAAAAATGACGTGTTTTATTAACATAGCTGTGTGTTCAGTTTTAATTTCTATTTTGTATAAAAAATATAAAGTTCAAAAAATAAAGTTTATATTAAATACTGAATTTGTTAATAATTTTTAACTAAAATGATTCTAAAATAAATGCACATAAAATATGGGTAGGACAAAATGAATAATAAATTTTTTACTGGAAAAGTTCCCGACAATGTTTGATGTCCAGCGGGTATTTTGAGCCCTGTACATACACATGTATGTATATAGCATAAAATAAATCTTTGCTTTGTGTATGTCATTTGTGTGTCATTTTCAGTAAATTATGGATTTTCCTAAAATATACTAAACTGATCCTAAACTTTTGCAAGAGACTGTATAAATATATATATATTTATATGTGTATTTATAAATAATATATATATATATATATATATATATATATATATATATATATATATATATATATATATATATATATATATATATATATATAAAAAAAAAGTGTGTGTGTGTGTTTATTGTTTAAAGTATATATGCTTATATAGTTGTATTTATATATAAATTTATATATAAAATATGTTATAGCGGAGATTATTAAAGAGTTATCGCCATTTAGAAAAGAGGTATTACAGAATTTTATTTTTTATTTTTTTTTATTTTAATTTTTTCATTATTTAAACTTCAGCAATAATAGTTTGTTACTTGAGTTTAAAAAAAATAACAACTAAAATCAATTAAACATATTGTCTATAAATAAAATCTTTTTAATACTAATTAATAAACAAGAGCATGTAATCAGCATACTATATCAGCAACTCTCTGAATTAGGAAAAGAGAGGTGGGCAATATTTTGCTGATCTCAATCTTTTAGAGGTTGGCAAAAAAAATTTGATACAAAGGTCTTACCATAAAACATAGAAAAAAGGTTCACAATATTTTGCCGACCTCAAACACTTTTATGTCGTCAGTTAGGTTGGCATTGCCAAATATCAACCCTAATTCTGAGGGCTGTATCAGCCAGAAACTTTATATTTGTTTTGAACATGTTTGCCTTTTTTGAACATATTCACTGTTGTAGAGAGTATGGATGGTGGATGATGATTCTACGCATCAGATACTCTCTTAGGAATTAAGTTTTTTTTTATTATTCCACAACTCTTCAGTTTTATTATTTTCAGTGGATTTCATTTCAAGTTGATGTACACCAGTTGACTAGGATTAACCTGTGGACAATTTTATAGCTTTTGATTAAATCTCTTCTTCAGTTTGTTTTGTTAAATGTTTTGAATTATGTTTCACAACTTAGATGTGATAGGTTTCTTGTTCGAGTTGCTTTTCTTTAGCTTCTTATTTTGCTTCCTCTTTGAGCATTACTTTATTGAATTGCAAATCGATGCAGCATATTCAAGAAGTCATTGAATAAATGCTTTGTACAATGTTTTAGCAATTGAGTTGGTCTGGAATTCGAATTCGTGTTTAATTAAATCTAATATTTTGTTAGCTCTATTAGCGCATTATTAAATATATTGGCTAAATTTTTCATCAGTTAAAGTCATAACACTTTAGTGATTTAATTTTATGGAAAAATATATTCTTACAATACAATTTTTTCATGAGATCACTGGGTGATATTGGTTCAGTCAGCTGAATGCTTATGTAACGCTCTACACACAAAATAATAGTCAAGCAAATTTGTTACAAATTTTTTTTTTCTACAAACCAACACTGTGAATAAAAACGTGGAATCAGGAGTTGTATTTCCCGTTATATTCCAGTGTTTGTTAAATAAATTTGCTATTGTATTTTATATTGATGTCTAGATTGCCAAATTTGTCTCTAAAGATGACTGAAATTTGGTTCCAGTTCCTATCACAATTTTGACCGAAAATGTAATAGTATTATAGCATTATTATCATTTTGATAATATTACTTTTTATTAGAAATGGTGGTTCTTGACCTTCAATCGTGGTCAATTATGCTTGATTTTTGAAGCACCATGCACTTGTTTTTCCAATTTACAAATTTGCTAGCGAAAAGCATTAAAGAAGTTTACTTGATTAAACTTATGAAAATGTTTCTCTTAAGGAAAAATAGGTTCAATCAGAAGCTGAAAATGTGTCAGTCCCTTTTGATACGCAGTCATCATTTTATCATAACTATCTGGAAATGGCTGTTCACTTTATTTTCAAAGACTAGAGTTATATTAAATTCTGCAATTGTGATAAAAAAAAACTGTTTTCAGATCCAATCATAAACAAACTGATTGCAAATAATCTAAACACTATTTTTATGCATCACACTCTTGTTTTCAACGCTGAACTTTAAAGCCAGCAAAAAATCTAGAGGGATGTAAAAGACAGTCTTAGCTTGAAAATTAATATTTAGCAAACTTTGCATTTGAAGCCAACCATTGCTACCACTTTATATGTTTCTTTCAGTAGTAATTGAATTTTATGTCAGAGTTTAGAGCTTCTATGAAAAAGCGAAAAACATTTTATGTGTTTTTGAAGTTGCAACAAAAATGTTGTCAGGTATTAATTCCTGCATTCCAATTGTGACAATAATTTAAGCTTTTTTCAGGAGTTAAAAAGTGCTATAAAAAATCAGGAATTATCTTTTTTCGGATATTTCTGGAATTCCGGATATTTTTTAAATTTTTTATCTTTCCCAGATAATTAAATAGTTTTCAAAAATACAATTTATAATTTTTTTTCTGTTTATTAATGTCATCAAATGAAACAGTAACAAGTATATATAAACAGTAAATTTGTTGTTCATAAATTACGAAAAAGCTATATTTAGTTAACAAACAAAGCCAAAAAGATTAAAAGATTTTCCTTGCAGAGTAAATCAAAAATTAATAAGCATTTTAATTAAAGTTTAATAAAAATCCCAGCTCAAAAGAGCGAATGATCTCCTACTGTTAAAATAAAATTAGCAATGTGTGTCAAACTCTTCTCTTTTTTAAAAAAATTGTAAATTTACATTTTTTAAAAAGCTATTAGCAAAGAAAAAAAAGTTATTATTAAAATATTATTTCTTTTTTTATTGTTTTAAAACTTTTTCTTTAAGTTAATCACTTGGCTTATGGACTGAAACTTTTCTCAGTTAGTTTGTCGGTGGTTCAAAATTTATTGCATCATTTCGTTTTCTGTCCAGTTATGCCATTGCAAATCTCTTTTCGTACACACTTTTCGAAAGTATTATTTTTTTGCTTCTTATTAATCTGAGATTTTTAAAAGTTTTGACGATGGTTTTGAGTTATACTGTTGGTTTTCTTTGAGCGCAAATCAAATTTAACTGTTTGAATTACCGAAAATGTTTCTACATTATATTACCTAAACGATTGTTCTATCATAGGTCCAGTAAATATTGACCAACAAGCTTTAATGACCTTGTTAAGTAAGTTGTATTGGTTCAATACAAAAACCTCGGACCACCATTAATCAAGTCTTTTTCCTTTTACTGCTCGTAAGTCTTTAGTGAGATGAAATGCAACAACTTCCCTGTCAAAAAAAGTCTGCTTCGTTAATTTTTATAATGTTAGGAAAAAATTCTTTTAGCTTCTGCATCATTCGACACGCTACTGTACTTCCAACACACGTTGGATCAATAGAGGATAGTAGTTTTAATAACTTGTTCGATAAAGGAATCTTTTTTTGCATATACTCTGCACTATCAAGAAATGTTCTTTTAACATGCGACTCAATTTCTGTTCGGATAGGATCATCAAGTCTATATTATTTAAAAGATTTTTGTTACTTTTCTCGTTAAATTTATTTCAAAAATAACATAAGTTAATTGATTATTTTTTTAGTATCACAATAGGCGTGTATATAAGAATCGAATTTAATAATATTATTACTGTTTTGCTTTAGTTAATACAAATTTACTTGAGAAGAACTATTTTTGTGTTTTTGCCTATGTACCAATCTTTTTGAATTTTGTGAAATTTGAAGCCTGTTACATCAAGCATTGCTAGTTTTTTACCCGATGCATCCTTATTAGTTCTAGCTTCATAAAGCAGCCTAAAAAAGATTTAACCACTAATTTTAGCTCATCATATAAAATGTGAATCTTCGGTTCTTTCTGTTCAAATATTAGAATAAATGACTTGAAAATCGGGAGGATTGCAAATTAGAAGTTAGCATGCAGCTTGGTTTTTCTTCGCTTGTAGAAAAGTTTGCTTACTATTCTTTTCTTTCTTTCTTTTCCAGTTTCAGTTGAAGGCTTTTTTTTACATTTAGCGCCAATTTAGTATATCCTTTTTTTTTTGACACCGTTTGACAAGTTCTTAAAAAATAAAGTTTCAAGAATAAAACATATCTGCACATAAAATTTTATTTGCAGTTTTTGATGTTATAAATATTTTAAATTTTTACTTCCATTAGTTTTTCATAATCATCCATGTAGATAGTTTAATCCTCTTTTTTTAACCAAAAAAAGTACAACACACTTAGAGCAGAAAAAAGTGCCATATTACACTCAATAGCATCAAATGTTGATAACCAACAGTGATCAATATGGTCAGGTGGCATTCGAAAGTTTACACCTAAGTAACCACATATTTCACTTGAATATTTTTGTATGCCAGGGCTCCATTTTAGGCCATTATGAAAATCTGTACAGAAATACTCAATATACTTTTCAAATGGTGCCAAGAATCTTTTAACAGTGTTATGCATACGATGACACATGTCTGCCTCAATATCTAAAAGATGAGGAACATGTAGTCTTAAAAGGGTCTCAAAACCTGTTTTTTTATCGCGCATGTAATTGGTTGAGTCAGAGAGATTCGAAATTAAATTATCAGTTGGTATTTCGTCATTTAAAAAAAAGGTTTTTATATCATCAAATGTTTTTGCATTAACCACTGTGAAAGATTTTGAATGGCAATGCTGTACAACTGATAACATATGGTTTTCAGAGTAATATGATACAAAGATAAAGAAAACTTTTTCACATTTTTGTATATGTAAAACTTATGTTTTAATCCTTAGTATTGTAAATGAAAAAAATTATATTGTTATTGCAATGTTGCTAGGAATTCAATTGATGATAAACAAGGTTTTCTTAATTATATTGTAAATGTTTTTGACCCATAATGCAAGCTGAAAACTTCAGAAATTCAGGTTTTGGCTTTAGTTAAAGGTGTGTCAAAACATATTTGAAGTTATAGTAAACTACTAAAACGACTGGCTTTGAATAATGTGGGTTTTTTAATAGCATTTGATCTTAAATGCTGTAGTTCTTTATTATGTCACTGCAGCAAATATGCCTCTAGTGTGCAGGGGAAAGTACTCTTATGAGTCGAGAAAAAAAGTATTTTAAGTTCAATTGATACCAACTACAACAAGTTTGTTGTATATGGATGCAAGAATAACAACATAAAAAAATGGGAAAAAAAAAGCTTGAAAAAAAAATACATTTCTCTTCAAATTGTCTTGGTGAATCTTTGGTAACTTTAGTTTATTTTTATTGGTATTTGTAAAAGTAATAATTACTCTATAGCCCAATTTTGACACATGACTTAATTCAAATTATATTATATTTAGAGTTAACCATGGAACATCATGGATTTTCCACAGAACATCGTAAACATAATTCGCAGAGACTTTTAGATAATTTAGATGGTAACCTTTTAAGTGCAGTCTAAATACTATCAAATATGATATTTCTTCAACCTTTAGTTTACTATTTTAAAAAGTTTTCAAAAAAAAGCTTTAGTTTGATGGCTGAAGAATCTAATGCTGAATCAATTTAGAAGAATAAAAATGTTTCGAAAAGCTGCAGCTTCATTTTTAAAAAAAGAAAAAAAAAGTTTTAGTAGGTCATTTTGCTCCTTTTCTTTGACACTGGTGTGTGTTCTATGCAGGCTGTAGAAAGTGCTCATTAATAATATAGTGAATACAAGTGTTGCTTTTAAACACAATGATTTTAAAAAAATAGTTCAAGGCATTCAAAAAACATGTTACCCTGATTGTATTGAATGTTTTAAATAAATGCTGCAAACTTTTTTTTGATCACATTAGAAGCAATTTCTGTTAATTAGAGCTTGGCCTATAACTTTCCGAGAATTTACCCTTGGATTTTGAACATTACAGAAATTTTGATGTTTTATCTTTTGTTGATGGCAGCCAATTGATCAGTTTTTTACTACTAGTTTGCAAATTTTAGCAATTTTGTATCTTTTTTTTGTGAAAACATAGTAAACAAACGTTTTTATTAAAAAAATACTAAAATGGTTAAAACTTTCGTGGATGTCACAAAAGTTTTTCTTCAAGTTTATAAAGTTTGTTTTATCGAAACAAGCAGTATTAAAAATTTTTAAAATTTATAATTCTATATATATTTATATAAAGTTCTATGGAAAACAGCACAACCATAACTAAAAATCTTTTTTAAATTTATGAAGCCATATATATTAGATTCATTTAAAAACAAAACAAACATCATTAAAAAATAACCAAAACTATTAGTAACACATCTCACCTTGGCCTCATTTGCTTGGCTGTTTTAGCTTGAGTTATCATTTTCACTTTTTGAAAGTAAAATGGAGTCATAAAATCTAGTCAACATGTTTTGAATATTATTTGGGATACATATTTTTAACAGAACAGATCATATACATATCTTTAACAATACAGATCATAGATATTTTTAAAAGTACCAAAACATAAATTTAATTTCATTTTGCAACGAAATTAAAATGAAAAATCATAACTGTAATGATTATAATATTTTTTTGTGAGTTTGTTTATTACCTATTTTTTTAAATTTGAAAATTATAATATTTTAATTATAAGGTATAAAGTACAAGTATATCCATGGTAAGACCATGATTATATGGATTTTATGGATGGACATGGATTGTACAGAAGTTTGCTTATGTGTTAAAATTGGTTCTTTGCTAAAAGCATTTTTTATTTATTGATTTTTAATAATTTTAATTTTTTTCTTTCTGTGATTTGAGTTTAATGATTGGAAAAATAAAAATGTATTGTTTCATAGTGGTTTTTAAGATGTCTTGTTATAAGTAAATTCTGCATTTCAAATTAAATATAATAGTTCAATTTTTTTTTAAGCAGTTGCATATTTTTCTGTCCAATCACCATGAATTATGGAATTCTGTTCTTTTTCTCTTTGTTCAAAATTATTATTAGTATATTTGAAACTTGACATAGTTAAAATTTTAGTTAAAATTTAATGTAAAATATTATAATTACAAATTGAATGTAAAATATTATCATTACTGATTGTTTTATTAAACTACATTATGTTAAAAATTTTAAACAGAAACTATTTAGTTGTAAAGTATCATAGGTTACCAGATATTTGTTGTATTTTAGAAACCAGATTTTTGTTGTGTTTAAGATACCAGTTTGTTGTTGTGTTCAAGATACCAGTTTGTTGTTGTGTTTTAGAGACGGTTTCAGGTACATTTCTTATCAGGTCAAAAGATAACTCAGAAAATTTTAATTCGAAGTCTGGCATCTATTCATTCAATTGACGCTACTAGTGTAAAAATAGGAAGCAGAATTGTAGGTATGAAAGTTTCTTTTGTTGTAATTAAGAAATGTGATATCTTAGTATAGAAAAAGGGTGGCCACATTAAGGTCTGCAGACTGCATCTGGTCCTCAGCAACCATTTTTCCAGCCCTTTGATTACATAAATTTTTATTAATAATATAACTGGCAGGTGTTAATTTACAAAGAATGTAAATATGCAAATTTTATATAAAATAATTGCAATTTTCTTTATCTATTTTTAATCTTAATTTTCAAAATATTTTAATTTCGAAAATTTATTCATAATTATTATTTAAAACTTTAGCCAAAATGGCATTTTCTTCAAAAAAATAACAAAAAATCAAACAAAATATATTTTTGGCGAATTTAATATGTTATAATGTTATATGCCAGTATGTTTAATAAGTAATGAATCTGAATCAGTGTGCAAAAAATATTCTTAAAGGAGGCCATTCAAAACATTCAAAAGCTTATAATCAGTTTGTCAACAAGCTATGGAATAAAAAGCAAAAAATAAAAACTAAAACAAAAGTTAGTCGCACAACAAGGTTTGTTAAAAAAGGGGCAATAACAAAACCAAAAATCCTGCTGTTGTGAGCTATGAAGTGAGTCTTCTTTTAGCTAAAAATTATAAACCATTCAGTGATGGTGAAATTTGTAATGAATCTCTTCAAGTTGTGTTCAAAAACATTTGCTCATTTTTACAAACTGTTTGGCTTTGTGGTTTTGATAAAAATTTTCTTGCGCTTTATAAAGTAGGTGATTTAAGGCTTTTCTTGATAAAAATGACTCTGAATATGGTGGTCTGCTTTATTATTCTGAGGTGAGATTTTTTTTTTTTTTTTTTTTTTTTTTTTTTTTTAACATCTTCACTTCCAACAAGGCTGCAAGCAACCACTATAAGAGTTGGAAGTTACTGGAAGAGAAAAGACTAAATCTGTAGAGCAAGATGACGATTGACTGATGACTTAAAAGATTGCAAATTATATGAATCTGGAAAGCAAGATGAAGGAAGCGAATTCCAAAGAACTGATGTTCGAGGAAAAAAACTAGAAGAATAAGAGTTCTTGAAGCACTTAGGAACAGTCACAGAAAAAGGATGAGACTTAATTGAATGGCGAGTAACACGAGAATGAATTTTAGTAGATGGCACAAGGGACGCTAGCTCTTTAGAGCAGTGCCCATTATAGTATTTGTAGAAAAGAGAAAGAGAAGCAACATTACGACGATGTGACAAAGGTTGGAGATTGGCTGCCAGAGCAGGTCCAACTATGTTTACAATTCGTTTTTGCACCTTGTCTAAAAGAGAAAGAGCATCATTAGAAGATCCGCCCCAGATGTGGCAACAGTATTCCATACAGGGACGGATTTGAGATTTATAGAGATAGAGAATAGAATCTGGAGTAAGAAAGTGTCGAGCTCGATAAAGAGATGCAACCTTAGCAGATGCTAATTTTGCAATGGATTTGATATACGGTTTAAAAGAAAGATCAGAAGTAAGAGTTAATCCTAGAAGATGAATGGTAGATGACTCATCTAGTACATTACCATTCATAAATATAGGAAGATCTAAATTATTACGATAACGATTGGCCGAATAAAATTGAGTTTTATCTGAATTAAAGTTCACCAGCCACTGTGAGCCCCATGCTGTAGCAGAAGTGAGATCCTTTTCAAGCTCAGATACCCCCTCCAAGCAATCAGAGAGTGTAGGCTTCTTATCATGACAAGAGTAAATGGTAGTGTCGTCAGCGAATAATGCCACCTTAGATGTGAGAATATCTGGAAGATCGTTAATGTAAATTAAAAAGAGTATAGGGCCAAGGATTGAACCTTGAGGAACCCCTGAAGTTACAGGATGTGAAGAAGAGTGTTGTCCATCGAGGACAACTTTTATACTACGATTGGAAAGAAAGGACTCAATAATCTTAAAGATGTTACCAGCTACACCATAAGAAGAAAGCTTATGGAGAAGACCAGCATGCCAAACTTTATCAAAAGCTTTAGAAATGTCAATTGCGATAGCCTTAACCTCTCCACCTCTATCTAATGCACGGTAAAACCTATCGGTTATTACTGTTAGCACATCAGCTGTAGAACGAGAAGACCGAAATCCATATTGATGATCAGAAAGTAAGTTATTTGATTCAAGATGAGAGATTAAGTGTTTGTTGATTAAAGATTCAAAAACCTTGCTTATGACAGGAAGAAGACTAATGGGACGGTAGTTAGATGAATCAGATCGCTCTCCAGAATTTTTGAAAATAGGGATAACAGATGCTGCTTTCCAGCATGATGGAAAACAAGACTCTGATAAGCACTAGTTAAATAGTTTTGAAAGTATGGATGAAAGCTCTGGAGAACACCTCTGCAAGACTACAACAGGAATGTTGTCAGGACCACAAGCTGTTGAAGAGTCTAAGCAGGAAATTACTTTTGATACAGAAGCTGAAGTGATGCGAATGTCAAGCAAGGGATCAACCTGTTTGACAGCTATGTCAGGTAAAACGCAACTAGTGGAATCAAGAGATGATATTGATGAAAAGTTCTTCGCAAACAATTCAGCTTTGTCTTTAGGTGAGGTGACAAAGTCTGAACCATACAAGAGAGAAGGAATAACAGATTTGCCCTTATTATTGATACTGTTAAAGATTCTCCAGAAGTCTCGAGAGCCTAATTTTTGTGATGAGATACGAGATTTAATGACCTGAGAATAGCGAGCTTTGGCGTCAGACAAAACCTTTTTACAATGGTTTCTGGCGATAGTGAACAGATTTCTGTTTTCTGGAGAATTGTTTTGCTGATAGATATGGAAGTAACGGTTTCGATTAGAAATTGCTGCCGCGCAATGTGAGGAAAACCAAGGAGAAGAGTGAGGCTTGACCTGGAATCGTCGAGAGGGAATAAAAGATTCCATGCCAGCCTGAATCCACGAAGTTATGTAAGAAGCACATTTGTCAGCAGGAAGACGAAAGATTTCTACCCAAGGGCCATCACGAAGAAAATCACGGAAAGAGTCCCAGTCAGCTTTAAGGTAGTTGTACGTGGTACGATGATAGGGGGATTCTGATGAAGTAGAAGAGTTTGATAATAGTTTTAGAGAGATCAAACCGTGATCAGAAGTACCTAAGGGTGAATGTGGAGAAATTGAGCACTGACTAGGATCTATGTCCATAGATGGCTTTCTAGAGGTAATTTGGTGAAAAGAACTTTGGATTTTGATTCAATTTCAACAAAGAATGGCTCACAGTGCCATTCTTTATTGAAATTGAAAGTGTACAAGAAAAGTTCCAAATAGATTTAATTGATATTCAATGCTGTGATGTTTTGAGAGAGACATAATAAACAAAATTTGATGGTATTTTACAAAAATCTTGACCAAAATAAGTATAGCAATCTAGTTGACAAAGCAAAAAAGATGTGTATCTTGTTCGGTAGCACATACTTGTGTAAAAGTTTTCTTGGATGAAGTTTACAAAATCAAGAACAAGATCTTTACTGACAATTACTTTCAAAATACTTAATATAAAATACAAAAGTTTGTTTCTATTTAGCAATTGCAAATGTTCAATTGCCAATTCACATTAATATTATTGTTAAAAATGGGCAGATTCATGATTACCAATAAATTGTACCTAAATAAATTTTTACTAAATCTATTAGCTAGCTAGTATATGTGTGCATGCTATTCCTTTGTAGGATTACATTTAATAAATTAAAAAATTCAATATTTTTAATTTTTTTTTTAAAACCTCTAGCTTTGGCCCTCTTATAAAATAAAAAGAAATTGTAATATATGTACATAACTAAAATTTTCAACTTTCTTTTGTGTTTTTCCTTAAGCCCCACGACCAAGTGACACAGTTAACTCTACCATATCAAAGAAATACAAAGATATCAGCAATAGTGAGATTTCTTACATTTTTCTTGTTTTTATATATTTTTTTGTACTTTCTTTATTGTTAAGACAAAGTTGATGCTTATTGAAATTAAATGTAAATTTAATATAATATTTATAAATATATTTTTAGGTGCTGGTGTAATAAGTGTTATGTTTGCAGGTATAGTTGCAGAAGTTGCTTGTGAACAAAACAAATTTAGGTTAGGTTTTTTTATTTTGTACATTGCTTAAAACCAAATATGTACTAATAAAATTTTTTTATAAATAAATAAATTTTTTTTTTTCAATTTTCTTAAAGTTTAGGTCAGCAATTGAATGTAAATCAAAAAAACCAAAATGCTAATCTTTTTCTTATATTGTTAACTTTTTCTTATTTCGTGAACTCTTTTTTTTAACTTTATACTGTTTATTTTAAATGTTTCAGTTTTTATTGTTAAATTTTTTTTTTACATTTTTTGAATGAGAAATATGATAAAAAATTTATATTTATATTTTGATAACTTTGATTATATATTCTCTATTATTGACTACAGTAAGCTTCAGTATTTGAAGTATTAATACAGGAATAATATTAAAGTATTTTAAATGGGTACTTAAACAAGGGCAACTATATTGTGTAGTGGGTATAATTTATAAAAAAACAAAAACAAAAAAAAACTGTGTTTTTCAAATAAATAAATAAATAAAGCCACAAGTAAAAAAATCATTTTAATTAATCAAAAACCATATAGTTAATATCATTAAGTAAAGAAGAAGCAAAAACTTTAAGTAAAAAATTAATAAGCAGAGCAACTTGGCAGAACTGTACCCACTTTAAAAAAGAGTGTTAAAAAGAAAATAATTCAAAGAAATTTTTAATGAAGTCAGATGATCTTAAATATGTTGTTCTGCATTTTTTAAATGATTCTTGTCAGATTTTTATTAATAGTCTTCTAGACCATTGTTTGGTGTCGTGCTTGTAGCCTATATAGTATATTCATCTAATCATGTGGCACTCACACAAACAAAAGCCTTTATGTATAAAAAATGCAAAACTGAAAAAATATATCTTTCTTTTGTTGTTGGCAAAACATTTTATTACAATGTTAGCAATCAAAAAGATCTTTTAGATTGATTTCCACAATACTTTATCCGATATTGTACAAAAGCCGCCAGATTGATCGGGTGATATAGGAAAGAATTTTTAGGCCAATATGTATGGTTGATTATAAAAATGTATGAAAGGTATTGATCAATCCGATCAACATTTGTCGTATTACTTGTTACAACATTATTTATTATATCAGGTCCCAAATATGGACTAAAAGGGCTTGATGATGTTTCTAATAAATTGCAAACTATTTAATGCGTTTAGAGTTTTTAAAATATTAAATTCAAATTCAAATAAAAAGTATGTTTTTTTACTGAGCATAAGAAAAAAGTATTAAATGCTTAAGATATGTATTAGTTAGTGGTTTTTTCTACTAAAGTTTAAAAAATGGTAAGATAATAATATCTATATGTAAATTTATCAATAGAGTTTTAATTTTTGAACAAAATGCTTTAGCATTTGATGCATAAGTAATATTGACAATAGTTATGATAGACAAAAGTCTATGATAACCTTATCAAGTTTTGTGTCGCCAAATGTTTCATGCATTTTTTGGAACATAAGTAATTATATTAAAAATAAATATATAATAAATGTATATATATATATATGTATATATATATATATATATATATATATATATATATATATATATATATATATATATATATATATATATATATATATATATATATATATATATAACACACACACACACAGAGTAATAAATGTATATATATATATATATATATATATATATATATATATATATATATATATATATATATATATATATATATATAACACACACACACACAGAGTAATAAATGTATATAATATATATATATATATATATATATATATATATATATATATATATATATATATATATATATATATATATATATATAACACACACACACATAGTGTTCAATGTTTTTACAGATTTGTGATTAATGATTTACCGATAATGAATCCATGAAATAAATACGGGCCTTTGTAAGTCTATTCTACACTGACCTTTTCTATACTTTTTTCTTTGTATATATATCCTAGCTTTCCGGACTCATAAAATACAGGTCTTTACCAAATCTACCATTTCTATACTTATTTATTACACACCGATCATTTCTATACCAATTATTTGTTTACTATAATATTTTTACGTAAAATAACTCATTTTAAAAAATTATTTTATGAGCAAAAATGTTAACATGCACACCCTTTCGAGCGTTTGTTTTTCTCTTAACTGCATATCATTGATAGCGGTAGTTTATTGCGCTCTCATCATTGTTGTTTTGGAGGATTAATGGCAAATATAGCAAGAAGAATCTTGCTGTATTTAGAGCAATATTTTTATCAATAAAGAAATATTTTATCAATCTTGCTGTATTTAGAGCAATATTTTTAACAATAGAGCAATATTTTATCAATCTTGCTGTATTTAGAGCAATATTTTTAGCAAAAAATTTATAATAGTATATATCTATAATAATAATAGCAATATTTATAGCAAAAAAATAGTAATATAACAAAAAAGATTTCTAATAGTAAAAATATAATTTAAAAGTTTTCATTTTTATAAATTTATTATACCATTTGTATATTATTTGCAAACATTATATTGTTCCATATACTGTCAACATATGCTAAAGACGTTTACACTTACAGACGTTTGTATGCAATGCTATCCAAATAGCAGAACTAAGAAGATCTTAGGCCATTAAAAACTATAGATTATAAAATGCTAAGGGGTCGTCCATAAATCATACTACGCTAAATTTATTTTTTAAAAAGAAGGATATCTTCAGTTCTTTAAGGTGGCGGTTTTAATTAAACTTTATTAGCCATTTTTTATTTAACATACGACTCTTGAATTTTGATACAAATTTTGATCTTTTTTGTTTTGTATATTAATGAAATTTAGCTTTGCATAGTTTATGAACAATCCCATAGTTAACCCTTTGACTGCTTGATAAAATTAAAAGATGTTCAGAAAAATTTAACTAAAAAAACCGAAAAGTTTAAATTAGAGATCAGCCAAAAGATATACAAAGCCAAAAATAATGGAGTATTTTGATGGTATATCTAAATTCTGTCGTTGTTGCACATTCGGTTTAGAATGTTTAATGGGGGCAAGGTAAAATAGATGTATAACTCTTAATTTTCTTATTTTATCAATATTAAATAACTTTAACTTTTAATTATTTTTAAAAGCAATTAGTTTAATAAGATGATTTAATTTGAATATAAGATTAGAATTTTTAATTATGTTCTTATAAAAAACATACTTTTTAATTTCCCGTACTGTTTTGAAAAAGTTAAGGTTGCCACTTGGCAAGTTCAAATCATCAGCTTGCTTTATTTTTTAAATTTTGTTATTTAAAATGCAAAACAAAACAACTTAACAGTTCTATAGATTTTGTATTCTATATATAAACATGTTGTATACTCATTTTTCTTGCACTAACTTAACTTAGTTGGAAAAAAAACTTGAAATGTA